GGTCGCCGGCGACCGACAAATTTCGACTGGGATCCCTTTGTTATTTCATTATGAATAAATTAGTCAATCATATCAAACATAAGAATTTATCTTTATTTAGATATAACGGGCTTTTTGATTGGCTAAAATAAGTTTTACACACGGAGGGGACCGTTAGTGAGTTTTGTCGCAACGCCAACCAATCCAGCCGCCATGATGGAAAAACGTGGTGTAACACATTCAAAGTTTGTAGGAAAAAAAAGAGAAATTAATGGCTAAAAATCAAAATAAAACCTATCACAGCGTTGAAGAAGTTCTTAAAGATGTTTTAGATAGCGATGTTGAATTTGATTCGGATTCTGAACTCGGTGAATTGTCTTCTGATGAGGAGGAATTGATCAACCAAGGACTTGACCCTGAATTGGACGTCGATCAGCCAAGGTATGTTTCTATCCCTTCATTATCTTGATGGTTTTTTATCCAAAACAATCGAAATAATATTTTCGTGTTCTTATTATGAAAGAAATACAATTACTTTGTGTAATGTTCGTCAAATTTGCGCAWATTCGTGCACACTGAAAACAATCACTTGTCGTTGATCAGCTGGATGAAAATGTAAATTTCACGTGTAAAATAACCGTCATCTTTTGTACCTTGCAGATATAATGTGCTCTATAATTCGATTTCTGTTTGCTCATAATTTCTTCAACTGTTAATTTTTTATCTATTTGTTTGTCTGAAAATAAAATAACTCATATTTTCAGGAATATTTGCTATAAATATTGTGAGAAAATACAACAAAATATCCTTATCAGACATAGTTATCAGGCTTGTCAGAAATTCTGGTGCCATTGTTTGAACACACTATACAATAATATGATATGTCATGAACCTAAAGTTTGATTTCCATTCCATTTTTTTTGATAATAATGAATAGCTGTCATTTTTCATTGGCATCACAGAAAGAACAGCAGCTACAAAAAGTTGTAATGTCATGCTTATCCAGGTTTATTTACTAATATTGCAGTGATGACGGTTCAGAAGAAACAGATGCTGCRCCTAGAACTTTGGCCGAAATCAAGTATTCTGCACAAGCACCTAAAAAATCAAGAAAAGATAAACCAGCGAAAAAAGATAAAATTCAGCCCCAGAGTTGGAATTCCCCAAGTAAAGCTGACAAGGACCCAGAGAGGAGGARATTCAAACCTTTGCGAGAGCCAGGGCTTCAGCTACCAGTTGATCAAGAGTGGAAGCCAACAGATTTTTTCAAACTGTTTTTTTCTGTAGACAGTGTGAAAACTATAATCAAGAACACTGAAGAGTATGCTGCTACACTGAAAGCAAAAAGGCCATACTTGAGATGGTATCCTTTGACAGTCAAAGAATTTTATGCCTTCTTGGGTATAATAATATTCATGGGATTGGTTGATGTACCAACTGTTTCAGAGTACTGGAACTCTGATGGATTTTTTKGACAAGAATTTGYTAGAAATTCAAGAATTTGCAAAACAAGATTTGCCAATATTCTTGTCTGTCTCCACTTGTGTAACTTGGAAGAAGAAAGAGAAAAKGAAAGGAAAAAGCAAAGGCAAGAGATCCRTGACCCACTTCTGAAATTGAAACCTCTATTAGATGAACTTGTACTTTGTTGTTCATCATATTATGTTCCAGGTCAGGCAATTTCTATTGATGAGAGGATGGTAGCTTTTAAAGGAAGAAKCGGCATGAMGCAGTATYTCAAAGACAAACCCACAAAGTGGGGTTTCAAACTTTGGGTCCTTGCAGATTCAACAACAGGTTATACCTACAAGTTTCAAATATATACTGGAAAGCGTCTTACCAAAACAAAAAATGGTCTTGGGCATGATGTAGTTATGGACTTGATGCAGGGTTTGTTCAACCAGGGATATCACTTGTACRTTGACAACTTTTATTCATCTCCAACACTATTTTGTGACCTCTTTGTTCAGGGCTGCTTYTGCACAGGAACTGTTCGTGATAATAGGACTGGATTTCCAAAAGGGTTTGGTAATCCTTTACCTAAAAGAGCTGAACGTGGATCCTCAAGATGGTTTCGTGATGGACAGCTGGTGTTTGTGAAATGGAAAGACACAAAGGAAGTTACAGTTATGAGCACATATTGGAAAGCTACTGGGACTGATACAGTACAGCGCAAGAAAAAAAGGAATGGAGAATATACTGTGCAAAATGTCAACATTCCACCACCAATCGTAGATTATAACAGGAATATGGGTGGGGTTGACCTCTCCGATCAGCTCATAAAGTATTACCAAGTGCTAAAGAAAACCAGAAAATGGTGGAAGACTTTATTTTTTCACTTCATAGATGTAGCTATTGTGAATGGTTACATTATTAACAAAACAGCTGGTGGAACTCTTGACCATAAGAACTTTCGAAGGCAAATAGCAATAGATCTTGTGTCCACCAATACTGATGTTGAAGCTGAAGTAACTACCCCAAGACCTGGTCGTCCATCAAGAAGTGATGTTAGAGCACAGCATTGTCCTATTCCATTGATGACAGACCTAGACAAATCTGACAAGGCAACAACTGGACGTAAAAACTGCAAACTCTGCTACATCAGAGAGAAAAAACAACAACGGACACCATGGCAATGCTCCAAGTGTTTGGTCCCCTTATGCTTGCAGCTTGAGCGCAACTGCTTCCAGCATTGGCATACT